TCTTCTTCTTCTTCTTCTTCTTCTTCTTCTTCTTCTTCTTCTTCTTCTTCTTCTTCTTCTTCTTCTTCTTCTTCTTCTTCTTCTTCTTCTTCCTCTTCTTCTTCTTCTTCTACTCCCCCCTCTTCCCGAGAATTCCACTCTGCTCATCGCTCCATTGACTCCATCTTACAGCTAGCGATGAATGAAACGCACAGGAACATGAGGAGAACTTGTTTTAATTTCTATCTTTCCCCCGCAAAAACGGTTCAGCATTTCTTTCAACATCGTCTTGCTTTTTTTTTTTTTTTGATTACAAGATTGTTAAAATATGTCTGTGTAAAGGTTTTATCATTAAAATGTTCCTTTCTTAGCCCCATTTCGAACATGCTTGCATTATGAGTACAGGAAAACTGTTTAGGGTCATCGTGATCTGAGATGTACGGTCATCACGACCTATCTTTTTTCTGATTGGCTCGATGATGAAAAGGGCAAAGAGATAGTTTTTCTTTTCGTATAGATGTATAGATATAGCTTTACAGCACTTGCAACATAAACAGGCACGTAAGTTCCGAAGATGGAGGTATTATAAGAGAGTAACGTACACACAAAAAAGGAGGAGGAGAGGTTAAGGACCATAGAAGTTTGATTGGAAAGAAGTTGCAAACCACAGCAGAGCGCCCGACCACCACACAAAAAAAGAGAACTGCTAACCCTTATATTATCATTATAAGTGCAGTGTGTATAATGCAATATATTATGTGTCTGTAATATGTTCTTGTAGGAAAATAAGTCTATTCCTGTACTCCATCACTCAATCTATTGCTTGAAGAAACATTTCCCCAAAAGATCAAGCGATGGAGCATACTACAAGAATAAGAGGGAAAACTTGTTTAGATTTCTATATTTCTGTCACAATAACTCTTCCTTCTTTCATTCGCCAACGTCTTGCTTTTTTCACTAGCAAATAATATATTAAATTCTAATTTGTTTGCTTCTGTGATAAAACGATTTCGAAAACGGTCTGGTTGTAACAACAGTGAAGCTGTTTTTAGGATGGTATTTTTTTGCTAGAGTGTTTGGGTCATCGTGAGCTTGGATCTTCGTTCGTCACGACCTGTTTTTTTTCCCCTGATTGCGTTTCACGGATCCTGTGTTCATGCCTTGACAAGGCAAGCTCCCATACACACACACACACACACACACACACACACACACACACAAACACACACACAAACACACACA